CCATGTGCTGCCCCACTCAATATGTCCCTGCAGACAAAGAAAAACAGACAGGAACTATGAGGAAGAGATGAGTAGAAATGTGAAGAGAGAGAGAGATGATGAAGTGCTGCTAGGATCCGTGTCATTTTTTTTTAATGTAGTGGTCTCCTCAGGTATGTAATTAGCTTTCCCAGTAATAAAATACTTCTTGAAACTCAACTTGTAATTCAGGCAGTGAAAAGTGCCATCTTCTTATCCATTCACAATTTGGAGAACTAAAAGAAACAGCATTTCTTTTATTATTAAATAAAAAAATATTACCAGTAGAAAGAAAAACACAAATAAATGTATTTCAGTCTTTTCTGCAGCCAAATTGTTTTGGCACAGTTTACCTCATACCCATCACACAATCTGACATGTTTCTAATAAATAGCATATTTTTTATGTGTTTATTGAAAATGACGACTGTTGGAAATAAACATTGCTGACATACTGTTACAGATTAAAACAGCCACCTGTAATCATTACCCTCCACATGCCTGAGTGTATATCTGTGTCATTCAGGAGGCTCTGATCATGGCTAGCATGGAGCACCCACACCTGGTCCGACTGCTGGGTGTCTGCTTGAGTCCGACAATCCAGCTGGTCACACAGCTGATGCCTCACGGATGCCTGCTCGACTATGTCCACGAGCACAAAGACAACATTGGATCACAGCTATTGCTCAATTGGTGTGTCCAGATAGCCAAGGTAAGGAAACTGAGCCATTATTACCTTTTTAAGTATAAAATACATGATTTCCTAATATGGTCAGTGTATTTACTTTCTAAGTGATATTTGGTGATAAACCTAGCCCATGGTTTGAGTGGCATTCTGGTTCATTCATCAAGGGTTTTTATTGAATGCATGCTTGAATTTGCTTTGGAAAACAACAACGGTACTGTTCTATTATGTTTCAAGCAATAGAGGCCAAATGCATTACAACATAATTTCTAAACTGAGAAAAAAAAAGGGGTTAAGGTAAGCCCGAACAAAAGGGGCGCAAGCCATGGACAACTGAGTGGCTATTGGTAAAGTGTGAGTGTTTATGGATTCAGCAGCAGACACCGGCACCTCCGTTTCCTCGTCTCTATGTAGAAGTGAAGTAAATAATTCAAAGTCTTACTTAACTTTAGTGGGGGAAATGTGGAATGCAGGAAATCAGTGTTATAGTATCATGGAGTTTATTACAAATTGATAGAATTTTGTTGTCAGTATCAATAGCTGACAGATACACATGAAGTCATATGAAAAAGGTTTTCACTGGAGTCTGTGCAGTACCTTTACTGCTTTCATGGGAAATAACAGAGCCAAATGCTGCTACTTCAGTATTCTTGATTAACGGGATCATCAGCAAAGTTTGGGCAGGCTGCTGGTCTCAAGCATTTAGATTAGTGTCAACACAATGCGACAACCTCCCCAGGAGTGGAAGCAAATTCACCCCAAGATCAAATTGTACAGCACTCAAAAAAATTGCAAGAAACCCAAGAGCTACATCTCTGACTGGTCTCAGTTAGCATGTTAAATGTTAAAGTTCATGACGGTAACATTGGAAAAAAGTGGAACAAGTGTGAGTCATTTGGAAGGGTTTCTGGGAGAATTCCCCGGCCTCTAAAAAGAAAATGGCAGCAATGCAGCTTAGGTTTGCATACTTGCATCTAAACAAATCACAAAACCTCTAGAAAAATGTCCTTCAGAAAAACGAGACCAAATTATTGACTTTCACGCACAGTAGTGGAAGGATGAACAATTGTTTTGCA